GGATGATATCACAAACCTCAGCGATCCAGGTAAATCATATGAGAAAGCGATCTAAACTTGAACCCTGTGCAACAGTACCTATTGGATAAACTTTATATTTTTTAAATTACTGTTCAATTTGGTTCAAGTCATCACATAATAATATCGTTATGTGAGATGACATTTTAGCAGTTTGTTTGCTTTTTGAATAGCTAGCTAAGGCATCACGCAAGCTACGCAAATAAAATTGAGCACAAATAATTTGCCTGACAAAAATGAACTCTGAACCAAAACTGGTCGATATTAGTTGTTGCCAAACCCGAGCGCCAGCATACTGTCGCCATCCATCTGAGTCTTTTCGGTTACATTGATACCGCCTTTACCAGTCAGTTTAGAAGATACCTTAAGAAGATTAATTTAACATGTTTCTTTAAGTACAACGCGGTCTTATGCCATAGAATCGATGAATCTTGCTCTTATGGAAAGTTTTCTTATACTCCGTTGAGTGATTTTTGCATCTCCAAAACAAAATTAACTGTATTCGGTTCACACTTTTGTCCAACTAAAATTTGTATACTAGCCTACGAAATATTCTTCCAAAATTTATAGTTATAGGTCTAGTCCAAATTCCTAGCCAAGGGGAAAAAGACCTCCACAAGATGATCGAAATAATATACCAGTGTCCTATAATAAGGAATTTCGAGTAGCAGTAGTATTATTGTTAGATTACCCATCTGTTCTAAATAGTAGATAAAAGGAGGAGCTTCACAAGTCGCTTAGTAAATTTGAAATATACTCTGACTAAACCATGTGATCGCGCAGTGTACGCCAATTTAAATTAAATAAAATTTATTTCAAACCTAAGAATGATTAAAGCTAAGTTTGTATGAACTGGTTTGCATTTTATGGTATATAAGAAGCTTTGAACTTGTGGAACATAAAGTTTTTGAAAATGCGCAAACTCTCTCTCTCTTTGGAAAGACTCAAGATAAACTACTCAAAAGCGTGCATTTGCATACCTGCTGGCCTTAAACTTTCGCGCACTTTCGGCGACGGAACTAGCATTCACCTCTTTGCCGAATATTGCTTACAACGAATTAAAGAGTTGTATGAAGTTTTGAAGCGGTCTAAATAATATTTGGAGATAAAATGAGAGGTTTTAGGGTTAGAATATGTCTTTCGAAAGTTTTCAGGCACTAAAGCTCAGAAAGTACGCGTTAAGATTTGGCAATGAAAAGGCCCGATAAATGTAATAATGGAATATTGTACTTCAAGGCAAAAGCCTTGGCTTCACTTGCAGTTTCGAGTTTCTCTTAGGAAATGACTGAGTCATTATCGACCCGAGCAAAATCTTATTTTAATATAAAAATGTTGAATATTCAGCCGTTGAGATCTCATTTCCCTGGGTTTATCACGAAAAAAGTACGTTAGCCGTGGACAGCATAACTTATTATAGGTTCATCTAAAATTAAGAAACTATACATATATCGTAAATATATATATATACATCTCGTTTTGTATGAAGGAAATAAAAAAAATATTAAAATTTTCTTTTTTTCTCAGACTTTGAATAAAAAATCGCATTTTCATTGAAATTTTGTTGCACTAAATCGGTCGATAACTTCTCGAGAAATAGCGTCCTCCGACCTCAATAACACAGTTTCAAGAAAAGCGGATTTAAAAACGGCGCACTTAGCACAACTAGCCTCGAGCACAAAGTTCTCAAGGCTGTATCTCCGAAACTATTACTCGGATCTTGATTACATGGAAATTTTGGACAGTACACATTCTAGAATAATTGTAGAATTTAAGTGGTTAGGGGTAGTCAGAATTTTAAAAAAAATTAATTTTTTTTTGCATTTTCGTTAAGCGTATTATCTTAAAAATATTCTCTGAAAATTGCACGTTGATCTGATAATTAGTTTTTGAGTTATTCGACAATTAACAAAGAGAGCTCGGGCACTTCAAAGCGCTAGTGTGAATTTAAACGTGATTTTCTCAAAACTATGTTATTTGAACTGGTGACAACTGTAACTCGAAAACCGCTTAGTCGATTTTAATGAAATTTATACAGCTTTAAGAATACAAAATAAACTCGGGTCTGGTCGAAGCATTTTTATTTTCACAAATTTCGATTTTTTAAGACCAATTAACTGTTCATTTTTCAAAAAAAATTTAGAAGAAGAAAAATTTAGAGTTAAGGAAAAATCAAGACGAAGACGATAAACCACCCTTAACCACAGAGTCTATCTATACACCTTTATATGCAAATAGTCTTCACCAAGCACATCGCTCCACCGCTCTACGCTACTACAGGCATGTCTCACCTATTCGCTGACGCTGTTTGCTTCTTAGGTTCATTGCACTCTTCGCACTCTTATTGAGTTGGCGAAATTCTTCAAAAAACTTGACTTTCAAAACTCCCGGCGTAGATGGGCGCGTTGGCTTTTTAGCGCTGTTTAATAAAGGAAACACACACAACTACTTGCCACACATATACATTTATGTTTGAAATATATAGGAAAGTTATGTGTTATATGTCTGTCTGTCAGTACTTATGACAGGTTATTTTCATTCACGTGTAGATTAGACATTGTGTCCAAATGCACTGTGGCATGGTTGCAGTTTGACGCGTCGCGAGTACCGCATACGTGCAAGTGGTTACGTGCCGCCAGTTTGTCTCTGGACGTGCCACCACCATTGATTTGGAAATCTCTACTACTATAAAGTCAAGTACTTTTTGACTCCTGACGCGCTCATATTTTATGCTCCAGTTATTTAGCTTCGCCATATACTTTATTTTTGTTTTCGTGAGTTATCACATCGCGAATGTGCTGATGCGCTTTTTGAGATTACAAAGTAGTGCATTGCACTCAGAGAAATTTGGATGTAATTTTTATTGTTGAAAATTCTATTATGGTACATATAACTATAGGTTTGGTAAGATTTATGACCAGCCAAACAGTTTTATAGACTAAACCTGCAATGGACTTCATGTATCTTATTCAATACCATTGATTTGGTTGAGTCTTACTGAAAATCTCCTGCAAATTTTATATTCTCTAAATCTAAACTCCATAAAGCTTTATTAAAGGTTTGGTCGCTTCAAAGCACTCAATTATGAGCAACCATTAGCCCACATAGTTAGCTAATTCTTTCACAGCGTATACAACAGCTAGTTGCAGAATATGAAGATATCTGTGTGGGTGGCCCATGATCGTTTTTCTCGAAACTTCACGGTAATGAGTACCCATAAACTTTATAAGATTGCATCTACCTTTGGAACAAAACGTATGCGCAGATACAACCTCATCAGATTTTTGTTTTTTTTGTCGAATATCCCTAAAGTCGGGTCAGTCCACATCTCCGTGCCATTCAAACAGACCCAGATAAATATTGTTGGTAACTAACCTATAGCCTCCTCAAAAATTTGTTCGAAAGACTTATGCTTTGATATAAAATCTTCTACTTTTTTTAAGCAGTAGAGTGAGACCATAAATGCTATATCCAGAGTAGATTCTGAGAAACTTATATTGCTTGGTTGGACTATAAATGTTATGGTATTCGAGAGAAAGTTCAGAATAAACTTCTTTGTCTTTACTAGATGGCTGAGTCAGACAATAAATACCAAGGCCTTTGAGAGAAGAAGATACAAGGTATAGGATAAAGGAGAATTCTATAGTTATCAGAAGCAATCATTTAAAACAGCTGGTAATAGATCCAAAAACGAAGTTGTTTAGCTGAAGGGATATGCATTCTTCGTCGATTTTTTAAAGTAAAGTAAATAAAGGTGGAAACATGCTTAAATAATTAGGCTGCTGCAGCAGTAGCCAATTTTAGTCGTAGAGGAATAAGTTCCTGACAAGTCCTGTCTATGAAAACAGAATAATATCATTTTCCGTGCACACTTACTATCACATCGAATGAAGATATCGGCAGAATAATAAAAAAAAAATATTACATTCCGTTTATAATTGATGAATTATGACGATTTCGTCCATGAAAGAGATTCTCTGATTAATATATAGTCTGGCTCGGTCTATTGAATGAAAATATGTAGTTCTTGAGTCGAATTGTAATAATGTAGATAATAATATCTTGTGGATCTGAGAAGGTTTACTTTAGAATAAGTACTGAAGCGTGGTGAATTATGGCGATATGCAACAGATTTTGTAGTCTCTACTTTTGTAATTTCTTCTGCATTAGCTAAAAGTTTGAGTAATATATGAAGCATAAGCTGGAACTTTGAAATGTTTGTTTCAAATGTCGACGATATTTAATGTCGTATAATCCATTAGTTAGCGCTTAGGTCGTAGTTAGAGGACGGTATATAAAAATTATGCAATTATAATGACATTGAACTTATTACTCCACTTGAAAAATATTATTAATTCAAAACACACAGCGATCTCGGTGAAGAGCTGAGTCTATGTATCCACGTCGGTACATTTATCTCTCTGTGATTAGTCCATCGGTTTTTGAGATACAGGTGTGAAATTTTGCATACATCTTTTTCTCTCAAAGAAGTTGCTCTTTTCTCGAAACCGCCGATATCGGATCACTACTGCATATAGCTGCCATACCAACTGACCGGTCAGAATAAAGTTATTGAATGGCAAAGCTTGTTTTCTACATGATATTTTTACAAAATTTTGCATGGTTTATTACCCAAAGCAACGCTACAATATCCGAACAATATATATTTTGATCAGGTAACTATAACGTATAATATAGCTAGCATAAAACGATCAAATTCTATTCTTGTGGAAGCGTTTCTAAGGTAATTTTAGCTTCGACGCAACCGTTTTTTTTTTTCTGTGCACTAACTAAATCCTCTCACACTTAGTCTGCCCCAACAGCCATTCATTTCACTTACTCCAAGCAATTGCAAGCACGTGCCCCCAATAAATATATGCATGTATGAGTATATCTGCAGGCAATTGTAGTGCCCATACTCATGCTAATATTCAACTGAATAAAGTTGTAAGAAGTTCATACATATTCGCGGCACTCGCACTTACCTTCGGTGTAGCAACAGCATGCGCTCCATCATACACATACAAATGATCATTACAATCTAGTTGCAACATATCGAAGCGCAACATGAAACGTTGCAATATCGAATGCGTTTGGAATGTTATGATGCAATCCAGATTCCGTTCGTTCTGCGACCAAAGTACAGCACCATCGATTTTGCGATAAAGTTGCTGCAGAAAGTGATTCTTGCACAGAGCTTGCATATAATCTGCAAAGAGAGGAAGTATGAAATATGTATATAGTATACGTATTATATATGAAATAGTTGAATAAGATTTATACGCTATATAAGAGAGATGAAAGGAGGGCAGCAAGCAGTAAGCTTAAAATGAGTTTTGTAGTGCATAGCTTCTCGTTTGAGTAAAACGCAAGTAAGTGGCTTACGAGAATAGCGCCGTTGCACGCACGCACGAAACTAAAGTGAATGACTGTTGCACAAACACTCGCTCTAACGCACATACACACATCCAAGTACGTGTGTAGTGGCAGTAAATCCGCGTGCGGCACTCCACCGTCTCGCTAATAGTCGAAAATCACAACTTAATGCTCGCAAATGGCCAAAAAGTGGTTGCCACATTTGTAGGGCAGTTGATTTTACGGTTTTCTGACGCGCTTTGTGGCTATGTGGACTCAACAGTCGAGTGCATTAGAATTTTAATGGCGAATAAAAAATTCATTTACGCTGCGTTGGCGGAAAATTTGCACGCGAAATCATGCACATACCCGCAAACACATATCCGTACATAAGCAAAAGTTAAGTTGCTTCCTGCGGGAGAATATATATAGCCTGGCGGCTTAAGCCGTGTGCTTTTAAAAAAAGAACGAGAAAAAGAATAAATAAGATTTTTATAGGATATCGTAAGGTTCTGACAGCTAATGCAGATATGTTTTAAGGTTAGTAGTGAGTTTGTAATGGTACAAAATTTCACACTTTGGAACTAAGGAAGCGCCTATTGAAGAGAATATTAGTGCGTAGCGAGGTCCGAATTCAAATTCTATCCGACATCATTTATTTTAGAATTGTAATTCAGATAATACAACTTTTTCTGCTAGAAATTTGGTTCAGGTCGAATAAAAGTAGAAAGTAACTATAACAAAGTCATAAGTAAATTTAAGCTTGGCTGGCTATATTACAAATATTTCAATTCCTAGAAAACGAAGTCTATTAAGCATCACAAAAATTGAAATTTTCTTCGCTTGGTTAATGCATTAAATTAACGAATTAAAAGCAAAACTGCTCTCCATATTGTCAATTGAAAACTGAAATTAAAATTAAAACATTCTCAAAACGATTTCAGCATTTATAGGGAGCCTAAAGTTTACAGAACTTTCAATTCCTCGGACAATACTCAATTATATTGGAATACAAACTCCGCTTGGCCTCTGGGAAATAAAAAAACTTTTTCTTTATTGGAGATTTAGGCCGTGATCTCGAAAAAAAATGCTTTCCTTACTCATGAAATTCCATTTCTCAAAATCGTGTTTTCAAAGAAACCGATAGTTCTCGATTTTGTGAAAAAATTTTATTTTGCTAAATTATTCGATCAAATACTACATTTAATATTACTTTAACGAAATATGTTTGGTTTTTTTTTTTTTTAATTTTCGAGGATTCGAATCAGAGATTTAGTCATCGCCGCAAAACTCTCGTTTGAGATAAGCTCCCGGAGATTAGCTATAGCTCTTTTCCAAAAAAATATTTTGACATTTTTTTTGTCAAATTTTGTCAAATTTTTGTCAAATTCAATATTTTGAAGCCTTAAAATACAGTTAAAATATACCATAAAATGTGTTCAAACTTTTGGATGAATAAATTTAAAAGTTTTCTCAGAAATAATTCTGGATAATTCGCTTTATAATTATAAGACAAGTCTTTCTTATTTTACTCGCGTCCTGGTGATATACGTTGTCGAGCATTTTTCTAGATAGCATAAGTAAAAGTGAAATAGTCGGATTGCAGATGATCTTTCGGCGTTACATCATTTCAGGTCGTTCTTTGCCAGAGAACAAATATTTTCTCACATATATCTGCTTGGGCATTGATACTAGACTTCAAACTTCTATCCATAGAGTAATTTCAGGGCCACACAGTTTCAGTTTTTGAAAAGTTTTCCTTCGCCTTACATATAACCCTGAAATTGGGCTCGTGCACTCAAAATGAATTTTCTTAATGGGAAATACTAAAAACTCATATATATGTACATAGCGCTTCGTATGTACAAGGTGCTTTTCAAAGTAAACAGGACTTTTTGAACGCCCTCTGGTGGCGCTATCTATATGTCGACTGGTGCTTTAGAATCTGCTATCTTTATCGATTGACAAGCGAGTTTTATGACATTTTATTGATTGGAAGTGAAGTTATTGCATTTTAAGTGTCAGTATGTTTGTGTTATCGGTTTGTAATTGAGCTTCGGACAAAAGCATAGCAGAGTGCACGAGTGGTTTCAACGTTTTCGAAGGGGTCGTGAGGTGTGGGCCAATCCAAATCCGTGATCACCGGGAATTCCATCGAAACTGTGCGTGAACTCATCAAAAATTAGACGAGATCATCATTGAATTTCATGGAAATGGAATTGAACATCTCCAAAACATCGATTTATCGCATTTTGACTGAACATTTGGACTTACGAAAGGTGTGTGCACGGTTTGTTCCGCACAAATTGACTGACGACCAAAAATTGCTCAGAATCCAACATTCAACGGACGATTATTTGACCAAAAATCACATTTTAACCATTAACCACTCCCCGTATTCACCTGATATAGCACCGTGCGACTTATGTTTTTTCCGAAAAATGCATTTGCCCATGAAAGGACAGCGTTATGCATACGTAAAGGCCAATCGAAAGGCTTGCACCGGCATACTGGCGGTCATACCGGCCAACGAGCTGAAACGACCTTAATGCATTTGGACCGTGCAAAAAGCTGTATTGAAGCAGAACTAGACTATTTTCAATAAAATAAGTTGATTTTGCCGAAAAAACCATTTGCTCTGTTGTTTTTTTTTTTAAGTGCTGCTTACTTTGCAATGCAAAGCTAGTCGGTTATCATTATTGTCATTAGCATGAGAAAAGCTTCTCTAAGGAACTTCGCATGTTGAGTTGTATATCAAAAATAAATGTGATCGCTAGTCTTAATGAATAAATAAAATAGGACCCAAATTATAATAATATTTTATATGATCTATGTAATGTCTGAATGAAATACAAGTCGTTTAGATTCGATAAGGCCGTGGAGAATTAATATATTTATATAAATTTAATGCTTCTGGGTATCAATAATGATACAGTTAAGACTCTTCATTAGAATAGCATGATTTAATTAACCCTTTCTCAAACATATTAAAACTTTGGCACAACAAAATTACTTCTCCTTAAATATCCTATAAAATTATCGAGAAAAATTTACGTTTGTGCTTGTCAAGCAAAGCCAAAAACATTTGTTAATTTTGTTGGCGGATGTGCAGCAGCCACAGCGTAAATGAGTATACATAGTTTGCCCGGAAAGTAATAGGAGTGAGTTTCTTCTGCCGCGACTGTACTTCGGAGTTCCCCTGCGGGTAGGGGGAAGAATATAGGTGGTAAGGCATGCCTGTCGTAAGAGGTGACTAAAATCCATATCCACTGGGAATATGGATATAGACAAAGCGTCAACGCCAAGTTTTACGTGGAAGTAGTTAAGAGACTCAAACGAAGGGTCAATTGGGTTCGACAAGACAACGTAGCCAATTGGAAGTTGCACCCCGACAACGCCCAGCATGCACCTAGGCTCTCAAGGCTATTCCGGTGAATGCCTTTCGTGACGCTTTCAAAAGTCTTTGGAAATCGCGCTGGCAGCGCTGCATCGACACAGAGAATTGTAACAATTTCAATAAAATTTTTTTAAATCGAAATTACTTTCCGGATAAACCCTGTAGGCAAAAAGCGCTTCTGAAAATTTCCCTCTAATTTCGAAATGCCGTGTTTGCGCTGAAGCGGGTGCATTGTGGAGTGTGTTAGGTGAGTGGGTGGCGCACATATGAGCAGGTTGACAAATTCACGTAACGGTGAAGGTTTGTGTGAGTTTCATTCGACTCCGTCGCCTTCTACTTGGTCGTTAATAGTAAATGCTAAATGAAAATTGTTAATTATAACGACGATTAAAGCGGAAATTTGAGAGAAAATTTTGGTGTGGAACATAAAATAAGGTTATGTGGTTTAGAAATGTTTGTACGTGCTTAAGTTTTTGGCAGTTGATATGAAATTAAGTAAGATTTTGTACTCCTTGAAAATTTGTAATCAAAGTGTTGCCAGCTAAAGTGACCTAACAATTTTGTTATGAAAAGAACCGCCATTTTGCATTTTTTTTTTTTTTTTAATTAATGCCTCATAGTGACTGCCGAACTTTGACAGTGATTAGCTATAGTACGAATAATGTTGTTCTCGTTCTCAACCTATTTGAAATATATTTTAAAATGTAGGTATACAATACGCTCTATTGGGTCCTTTTAAGCTAAGCTTAGCTCTTATCAATTATCATTCTATCACCATAATGTTAACAGTTCGGTATTTTAGTATATCCTGTTTAGGTTTAGGTTATAAGCAAAAAAATTTCGAGAAACTTTAAACTACTCAGACTCATCTTCTTAGTTTTACTGAAATTTTTACCAAGGCAAGACCGTTTTGCTTTTGAAAAGAATTTAGCACTCTAGTCTAACAAGCACTTTACTGGCGGTCTGACGGCGACGGAGAAAGGTTAAAGTTTTACTTAACTATTTGTTTAACTAGCTGATTGTTTTTAGATCTAGAATGTTTTTTAGCCTTCTGAACCGGTCTGGTCTTTAGTCAAGTCTGAGGGAGTAGATACCCTGCGAATCCGAAATATTCTTCAAGTTGTTTCAAGAATTTCTTCTCTTAACCATGAAAGATCGGAGAATGGTTAAAATCTACGCTCTTTGAGATCTTATAGTTTTCAACGAGACTTTCGATAAACCTGAAATTTCTTTTTCATCCTTCTTTAGGTTTTATTCGAATACTCTTTGGACTCCTCAAATCTTTACGATAGACTTAATATTTCGAAACGCTCTATAGAGCGTATTGTGTTAAAGATTAAAACCCACCGGCAACAAACTGATAGGGTCACATCAGTGTGGCTTTAGGTCTGGAAAATCAATAACTGATCAGATATTTATCATGCGTGAAATCTTGGAAAAGAACCGTGAAAAGAGGA